TTTCTACCACGGATTTATACGAATACACTTGTAAAAAATTTTGGCGATAGTTTAAGTGAAAATACAATCTACCTGTTAACGTAAGAGTCTAGTTAAAAGCAATCTAGCTTTTACGTTATTTAAGTTAATTTTATTCATATACTGAAATATTTCAAATATTGCATACATTTAGGATGAAGGAAAAAAAAAAAATTAGAAAAAGCCGTTAACATAATACTCGAATTTAAAGCTTAATTGCTTTAATTAAGAAAAATAATTATATTTTGGACGACATTGCATTTACCGTTAGCATTCTGCATTTATAAAAATTTTGAAAAGGTAGCAGTTTTGGAAACATAAGGTTCTAAAAATTCAAATTTTCTGAATTTCAATATAGGACATACCTTAAGAAGGGGTGTAGGTGAAAAACAATTTTCTTTTAACAAAAGAAACCATTTACCAATATTTAAAAACTGCTAAAACTTCAGATTACTACAGCTTATGGTCTATAGAAGAGAAACGATATCAAAAATTTAGGTTTTATTTCTGCACCTTATAATTACGCATTTATTTATTCTACATCTTGATATTTTTTTACGCATACTACATTAATCTAAATCTACAATACTCAGATTTCTATTTTTTGCCTCCATGTAACAAATCGGAAATATTCCGGGGTAGTTGAAGTGTTATATTCCTTGGAAAGAACATAAAAATTATATAGTCATCTAACATTATTTTGTAATAAAATCTAATCTAAATATTAAGACAATACTTACAAGATCTATCTATAACATAATTATAATGCCTAGTTGTTGTGACGGAATGTCAACAAGTGCTTTTCTATATTCAGAATTTTTAATATTGTTAGATTATAAATCATTCACCCTTTTCTTAAATTACTATGTAAAATAAGGGAAAATAAACTAGAGCAATTCTATATAATAAGGTTTTCCTTTGCCTTCAGTTTCCTATATAGAAAATATCATGTATACTTAGTTGACAAATTTATCTGCCTCAGGTTTTATTATTCTGAGATTTCATTCAGAAGGAAAAGAAGAATTTCTCTCTTTTTTTCGCCTTTAATAATAAAATTTCATTCATTTTCTGTTTATTATTCTTATCCTTCGATTTTTTTATTCTGTTATTTCAAATGCAAATCATCTATTTCGTAATAGAATTTTTATCTCTCTAATGTACCTTTATTTTTTATTTAAATTCACGTATTTATAATGATGTTAACGACACGATCCATAAAAATTTTCTGTTTCTTATTGATTTTTAATCTTTTATTTTATAAAGAAATCTCTTTTCTTTTTTTCATTTAAAAGCTAGATTTTGAATATTAATGCGATGACAAAATATAAAAGCATATACACAAACATATACATAGATGAAGATTATTGAAGTATGAACTGGAGTGTTGCAATGTCCCTACTCGTATTCTACATGTACCTATAGGTTCCTGTACATTTGTTGTCTTACAATTATTATTATCAGAATATAAGTATGACACGATATGTCGTTATTATGAATTCAATAAAAATTCTTATATTATTATAACTTTTAGGTTATTACTCCGGTAGGTGTTTAAAATATTATGTATAATCTACGTAGTAACTAATACATAGACATATAAGTGTATTATAAAATTATTTGTCCGTTCCCAACTATTCTAATTAAAGCAGTAAAAAATTGCAATTCCAATCCTTCGTAAGTTTGAATAATATAAGCACTATGAGCCCAATTCAAACACCCCTGAGCAACCCTAAATAAGAACGCAATTTTACTCATCACAACCATGAATTTCCTAAATTAGAATTTCTCAATTCGCACTGGAACTTTCTTAACTTGAAAAATTTGCTTAATTTTAAAATAAATGTACTGGAATATTATTATGAAGAATATTTTAAGGACTTTTATAGCATGTTGTCTTAGAATGTACAAAATTATTTCGCGCAAAATTATCTCGCGCAATGGTTGCTGAATAGAGAAACATTTGCTTAAGTCTATCAAAATCGAAACTAGTCAATTTGCAGGAGAAATGTTAAATTCTGACAACTCGATAATCTCGAATAATGTAATTTTAAATCACCTACTATTAAATACCACAATGATGTTTGTTACAATTCTAAATTCGTAAAATGTCTAAAGTAAAAATTTTAGATTAAATTTAAAAAACGAATCTTTGCAATATGAAAATGAACGCATATTTTCTAAAACGTTTATATAAATAATCGAAATTTTTGCTCCTTTTAGTCAAGAAATATTTTATAGCTCGGTATTCCTAGTATAACAATATGATAACGTACCCCATTATAGATGTAGATACTCGTAATGGTGTCAAAATATGGAAAAATTTTCTAATTGTACCTCTTCTTTTTATTTTTATATTTTTAGCTTTCTTTTTCTGTATTGTGCAGAACGTGATTTAAAATCAATAAAGGAGGAAAAACAAATTTATTTAAAAAATTCTTAACAATTTAAGCATATTACTGTAACAGTATTAAACGGTATAATAAGAACAAGAACGAAAAATTTTTCTATTTCAAAATAATATTCATTATTCGAATGTGTTAAGGTGTATGGGTTTGTGTTTGTAGGTATATAAAAAGTTAAAATATTGAATCCTTCAAAATGATAATATTCTTAGCTACAATTTACACACACATACACGTTTTTTGTACACCCACTCGAAGTATTTCATCCGAATATTTTAAATTTTTTTAAAGACATATTGAGTAGGCTGTACAGTTTTTGATAATTAAGTTAAATTAAAAGTTTTAGAAAAAAATAATTTTTTTTTGCAAGTTTTTCGTGCGTTTATATGTATAAGTACCTATATAATATAAGTAAGAGGGTAATTAATATCTCACGTCGCCACAGTTCCGGTAGATATTCGCTTAGCTAAGTTAGAGTATTTTATACGAATTGTGGAAATTTGTTCTGTTATAATTCGGTGTTGTTAGAAAGTAAAGTAATAACAAGTAAAAACGTTTCAGTCGGTATAAACCGATTGAATTATACCCTGCACCTTTCATTGTTGTATAGCAATTACTCAAACCTGTGAAACCATTCTATAGAAACTTCACGGATATGTCAGACCTATAACTGAACACACAACTACCAAGTTTCATGAATCTGACTTAATTATTTTTCCAAATATTTAAAATTAGCTTTTGGAGTTGTATGGCAGGTACCCGAACCTGCCAAGCAATTCCACTAAAACTTCGCTAATATATCTGATCTATAATTGGACACACAACTGCCAAGTTTCATGAATCTAACTTTATTACTTTTCCAAATATTTAAAATAAGCTTTTGGACTTGTATGGGAGCCACTCGAACATGTCAAGCAATTCCACCAAAACTTCAGAAATATCTTTGACCTATAATTGGACACACAACTGCCAAGTTTCATGAATCTGTCTTTATTATTTTTCCAAATATTTAAAATTAGCTTTTGGAGTTGTATGGCAGGTACCCGAACCTGCCAAGCAATTTCACTAAAACTTCGCAAATATATCTGATCTATAATTGGACACACAACTGCCAAGTTTCGTGAATTTGGCTTTATTATTTTTTCAAATATTTAAAATTAGCTTTTGGAGTTGTATGGCAGGTACCCGAACCTGCCAAGCAATTTCACTAAAACTTCGCAAATATATCTGATCTATAATTGGACACACAACTGCCAAGTTTCATGAATTTGACTTTATTACTTTTTCAAATATTTAAAATTAGCTTTTGGAGTTGTATGGCAGGTACCCGAACCTGTCAAACAATTCCAATAAAACTTCGCAGGTATATCTGATCTATAATTGGACACACAACTGCCAAATTTCACGAATCTAACTTTTTTATTTTTTCAAATATTTAAAGTAAGCTTTTGGACTTGTATGGGAGCTACTCGAACCTGTCAAGCAATTCCACCAAAACTTCAGAAATATCTTTGACCTATAATTGGACACACAACTGCCAAGTTTCATGAATCTGACTTTATTATTTTTCCAAATACTTAAAATAAGCTTTTGGACTTGTATGGGAGCCACTCGAACCTGTCAAGCAATTCCACAAAAACTTCAGAAATATCTTTGGCCTATAATTGGACACACGACTGCCAAGTTTCGTGAATCTGACTTTATTATTTTGCCGAATATAAAAAATTTGCTTTTGGAGTTGTATGGCAGCCACCCGAACCGGTGCAGCTATCTCATTAAAATTTTTAGAGCATATGTAGAATATAATTGGACACATGTATACAAAATTTTATATTTGTACCTTTATTAGTTTTTGAAATAATTAAAATAAACTCTTTGAGTTGTATGGCAGCTACCCGAACCCGTTGTCCGAATTGGTCCAATAACAATAGGGTTCGTCCTTGGCAGAAAAGAAGCAACTTGTGAAAGTTTGGTGTCGATTGCATTATTCGTTTTTGAGTTATCGTGCGATCGGACGGACGGACGGACGGACGGACGGACGGACGGAAGGACGGACGGACGGACATGTCTAAATCAACGCAGAATTTTACGCTGAGCAAGAATATATATATATGTCCATACCGCAGATGACTCCTTCAAGTAGTTACAAACTCCATACCAAAGTTAATATACCCTTCACGAAGTGCAGGGTATAATGAGATTATCTGTCGTGATATTTTTCTAAAATATCACGACATATTTCTCTGCCGCATTTTTCTAAAATCTATAAGAAATCAATGTAAAAACACAAATTTATTAAAATAGCAGCACTTTTTCCATTTACTCATAGTCGCGTTACAATTATATTTATAACATTGATAGTCGAAATAGCCCACGCTTTATTATAATATTGAATCCAAAAAGCTACAAAACAACTTTGGGTTACCAAGAATCCACTTGTTCAACATCATTTTTGAATTATATATAACAGAATTTAAACATTGTTGACTAGGAAATTTTAAAATTTACATAATATATAGGTACATATATATAATTTATTCAACATATAATTTATTCGAATTTTACTTTCTTATTTTACAGGAAATTCCAATGAACTTGTAGGAATTCTAGTGAATTGCTTATCATTATTTAAGGTAAGAATAAAAACATTGCAGTAGATATATAAGGAAAAGCATTTGTTCATGACATAAAATAAAAATATTTTTAAAAAGGAATACAATAGTGCCTAAATTCTAAAGTTTTTATATAATATAATTTAAAATTGAAGGCAAAACATTAATTAATTAACAAAAATTATCATTGAAGATAAAAAGTTTCTGTACTATTTAAATGCGGTCCATCAATAGTTAGAAATGAAATTATTTAGATCACATTGAATTTAATTAGAATCGAATTCTGAATTGTTGCATGAGTGTGTTGGTTTTTCTGATGATTTTATGATGTTTTAAGCTGAAATTCGTTGGGGGCTTATTTTACATTTCCATCATATTTTGTATTCATGATGACACATCTTACGTTTTTAGCTTTAAGATGACAAATACTTAAAATCTAATATATTAATTTTATTCTTTATGAGAATTTCGAAGAATTTACGTCGTGGACACTGCAATTAAATAGTTTGCTTGAAACAAAATTTGTGCAAACATAAATTAGAATAACGAATAAAAATAGAAGGTTACGAAATGAGAGCTAATTGAAATCCTCAAAATTTTATGACTATCAAAAGAAGGACTTAAAATTGACAACAAAATGGCACGTTATCAATCTTAATCTGCACAATTTGGGCACATGAAAACAAATGAATTGAAATTGCCAATAAGCAGTGGAATGCAGAAGTTGCTTGGCCGTTATTTACTAAATTAAATAACTTTCAAGAGTAATAAGATGCTTAAAGAAAGCACATTTTTGTCAGCTTTATAATGACATTAGATTGGTTTGATCTTAACTTGTACATCGAATAGAAAATTTAGCATTTTAGTTAAACAAGGTTAATAAAAGAACAGCCTGAATATTTACTTACCAATTTGCTTCATTACTTACAATATTATGTATGTAGACAGTATTACGTCATTAGAATTAGTAGAAAAGAAAAGTTTTATTAAAAAGATCCTTTTTTTCACACAAAATTGTACCAGAAATTTGAAGCAAAAGTTTATTTTCTAAATTTTCATATTTTACTTAAAATTCATATTAATTTTTTTTTCCATACCAGAGAAGATCAAAGAGAATAAAAAATTTTTGAGTTTTTAGGAGAAATTTTTTTTTTCTCTTTTGATTCTCGTTCTTTGTTTTTCTTTTTTTCCAACTTTTCTTACTTTAGTAAGGGTCAATAATTTTCTTTTCCTTTTTTCCTTCTTTTTGTTTGTGGGTACTTCAATACCTACAAATTCACTGAATTTTACATAATTTGTTCAAAAGATTCTATATTATAAGACTTACTTTTAGGTTCGATTATTCATTTAGTTATACTGTAACAAATCTAACCGAGAGAATATGAAGAAAAGGTAAAATTACATGTCACTCTACTTGAAAATTTATCATCATTTCATCATCTTCATGTTTAAAATTTTTTTATACAGATTGTTATCTCTGTGATTAAAGGAAAATAATAATTCATTATTTTGTGAACTTGAAAAGTTTGTTAGGAAAATTTGTTGGTTGTGGTACTTTTCAAAATTTTAATTCAAATTTTAAGTAGTGTTTCTCTCACATTCTTATTGTAACAAAGTTGGAGGTTCATTTGGTGCTTTAAGCAAATATAGGAATAAGAGTCATTTGATCATCAGATTTTTGTGTGAAAATTCAAATTACAAGTATATAGATGTAGCAAATGAAAATATGTAATGAAATTCAAAACCTGATTTAATTCTTTTCGGCATTAGGGAATTTTTCTTACAGAAACGCCCTGATTTAACTATTCATTGGGAGGAAGAAATTCAATTTCTTCCTTATTTCAATTACTTCCTCCCCAAAAAGAAATAGATTTTAATATTTAATTACATGAAAATTAAATTTTTTAAGTGAAATTTTCCGATATATCTTCTTGAGATTGATTTTTTCGTCCAAAAACAAATGTTTTTAATACCATTACGATCCAAAAACAAGTAATGTTCTTATAATACTTTACGTTTGTACTGACAAAAATAATTTTTATAATAAGGATTTTTTTCCAGGAATCATGCAATTTTAAGCCTCGCATATTATTTCAAACCCACGTCCATTGTTATATCCGATGACATTCACAATATAATTTACGTGATTTGCTTGTCGTTCAATTAAATTCATTTTTTATTCTTTTTGGTTTTTTGTTAATTTTCATCCATCAATTTGGTTTTCAAGTACCTGGATTTTGGGTGGAACGATCTAATTATAGAGTTTGCATTAATTCTGTTACCGCGATTTTTTATTAATTTGAAGAGAATCTAAGAAGCAATTTTTTAGATCTAAGAATAAAATACAAGAAAAATCTTAAAACAAAATTTTTATTAATTTACGTTAAAAGGGAAATTTTATTTTATTTCAGTTAGACAGACTTAAAATAAAAGTTGATATTTCTTTTTTTCAAAATAAAAATGAAATTTTGAAAACCAAAAAAAAAAATATGAAGAACAAAAAGAAAGGTCAGTTGAGAAAACAAAATGGTCTGTCAAGAAAAGAGACAAAAATAAATCGTTCTCTTGACGTTTTGAAAATATTTTGAGGTTTTCTATTTGTTATTTTAAAAAGGTTAATTTTCAGTTTAGAATAATACCCTTGAAGGACATTAATCATTTTCGGATTTCAAAAAACAAAAAATGAGGAAGAAAAGGAAATTGTTTGTAGTTTTCATTTAATTTTCAGCTACAATAGTCGGTCAAGTTATAAATTTGAAATTGTATGTTATATGAAAATTGTGATAAAGATTTCGGTAAGAAAAAAATATCACTCCAAGTGTATAAAATTATTAAGCAAATGATTTTGAAAAAAATTAAGGCAATTTTTAAAAGGTGAATTTCTAAGATAGATTTCATGTTGTGTACGATAAAGCAAATCTGGCCTGCTTGGATTAGAAGTACCTTACGTCCTATTTTAGAAATTTTATAGGGGAATGATTTTAATTTTCTAAAACTTCATATTCTCTATGATTTTACAATTAAACAAAAGCAAATTAACAGAATTTTGTAAATTTTGAACTTAAACCCTAAACCTAAGAGTTGTTTTTTTTTTTTTTCAAATTGGGAGTTAAGATAATTTTGAACAAAAACTTTTAGGGCAGAACAATCTTAAATTTACTTTTATAGATAGACATTCGACATTTCATAGACAATATTTCGGAGTTATTTTAAATCAATTAATTTCACCGCAAAAATAGTTATTTCAAAGGAGCCTATATTTTTGGAGTATCAACAGTATATTAAAATCTAATAATCGAAAAATAGGAGATTTTGCAAAAAGTTGAGCAGTTTTATGCGCACAAATAAGCACAAATATTGGGGATCGAAGACTTAATTCCGGTATTATAGTACAACTTTTAATCATTTCTTCGATCTTCTAAGAGATCGAGATTTTACTTTCACTTATAGAGGCTGCTCACTTATATAATCAAAAACTCGAACTCTTGATTATTATAGAGTGCAACTTATAAAATTAGTGAGCTCACATTTTTAGAGAACGTCAAAAGCAATATTTGAATAATTAAAGGTTTCTGTTTTATCCTGATTCTACTGGATTAAGTTTAAGAAATTAACTTAACTATTGTTCAATATATTTCTACTAAAATTAGCAACTAGATACTGTTTTTCCAAATAAAGAGAAAGATTTCGATTTTTCATACTGTTTATTTGATAATAAATAAGTAGTTAAAAAAATGGTTTGTAATAAAAGAAACTCGAATTTATTGATATAAAAATCAAAACTTATTTGCGCTATTCTTACAAAGTTTTCAAATTCTTTCACTAAGAGCTATTTATATCATGAGAAATTTAATGAAAATGCACCATACTATCTAGAATAATTGACAAAGAGCAGGAATATTAAGAGTTGACTATTTCAACTTTGTTTCTTTCAAATTAATTGTTCAAGGTATGAGTATAAAAAGTGATCTTGACAATTAATATTATTCAAATTAAGTCTGCCCTTAATTTTAAAAATTTTTTGTACCAAATTTAACCACTTTTCTTTTAAAATTTTAATGTACGGTCAAATAATTAATAAGCAATAATAATTATAAAGTTAAATTATTATGATCTATTCGGAAATGGTTCATTGTCTGACCATATCCCAAATTACCTAGGATTGGGATATTATTACAACAATAATTGTGATAACTTTAAATGAAAGAGCTTGATGGCATTGCTTTTAGAATACTGTTCCTTAGACAGACCAAAACTGACCAATACGCTCAAAAGAACTCGTATGAGCGTATATTAAATGAAAGAGCTTCATGGCATAGCTTTTAGAATACTATTCCTTAGACAGACCAAAACTGACCAATACGCTCAAAAGAACTCTTATGCGCGCAGTAGTTGGATAAACAAATTAAAATCAGGGGAAAAAAATAAAACAAATGAAATTTTGTTAAATGTTTATGACTATGCATTTTAAAAAGTTGTCATTACAAAGAAATCGTATTAGATTTAATAGAGAAATTTGTTACAGTCACATTCCATCAGACCTTGTAAGAAGATTAATATTTGATTACATGAAATTTGCGTTTTAGACTCGATTTTTTTTTTTCATTTTTCTTTAATCAATAGAAAAATTAATTTTTATTTTAAAATTCATGGACTTTTAATCCGGAAATTAATTTTCTTTTTCTTTTCTATTACCAATTTTACACTAAATTACTTTATTCATTGCCATTCTACGAATTAATTATCATCATTTGGCTAATAATTAATAAGTACCTTGATTTAACAATAATATTTTTAATCTTAATTAAAATATTTAGATTACTCAAGCATATTAAGAGTTTAAAATATAAAACGTAAAATGTACGTCATTATTAAATTTATTGAACTTTCACAATTTAAAATTAACGAAACTTAATTATTGCTGTTGCTAATTTTGTAATTAATATTCTCATTATTAATTAACTTGTACTCGTCTGAGAAACAATTAGTAATTCAAATTAATAATAAAACTAAAATTGCTA